TCTATTTTACAGATGTTCATTCTAAAATTTAGTTGTGCTCATCTCATTAAAAGATTTTATGCTATATATATATATTCACCCTTAAAAATATTTTTAGATCGGATATTGAATATTTATTCTAAAAAAAAGTAAAGAACAATAGAATTATATACAACACAGATCTATTAACATTAAATATAAAACTGTTTTCATTTATTATATATTATTATTGATTAAAAAATTATCTGAGGGTTAAAATTGGTAATTGCATTTAGTTGTAGTTGAATAATTTTCTTTTTTAAAATCTAAAAAAAACGAGAAAAAAATATAAAAGGATTTGCCCACGGTGTACTGCCATGTATCATAAAAACTATTCGTTACTTTCTCCAAAAGAATAAATATAAGGGTAAAGTATAAAAATGGTCCATGACTATAAGATACTATTTTATTGAGTATTTTAATTATTAAAAGTTATAAAATGATTCGTAAATTATAAGGAGTTATTTTATTGAGTCCATCGACTATTAAATGTGATAAAATGGTCAACTAACTATTCATTATATTTCAAACTTGTCATTTTTATTAAAAAAAATTAACAACAATAGGAGTTGGATGTTAACTTACTATCTGAGATATTATAACATATAATCTTATAATCACAAATGACTATTATATCTCAGTCAACATGTTAACATTTAGCTTAGACTGTTGTTAATTTTTCAACAAAAAAGAGAAGTTTGAAACATAATGAATAGTCAGATGACAATTTTGTAACTTTTAATAGTTGAAGGATTCAACAAAATAACTCCCTATAGTCAGAGAATTAATTTATAATTTTTAATAATCAGGGTATCAACAAAGTAATATCCTATAATCGAGGGCTAAAATGTCAAAAAAAATAATAAGTGACAAAATAATTATTCTGTCAAATGTAGTCTTTTTGTCCTAAAATGAAACGGTAGGGGTCAAAATTCTTTAAAAAAAATAGAATATGAGAAAATGATTATTTTAGTAAACTTTGAGGGCTAATTTTAGCATTATACCAGATGAAAAAATATAAATAAATAAAAAATTGCGGGCAGCGCTGCCACTATCTGCCGCCGATGACGCCCCTAATCAGAAGATTCTTATTCCCGACTCTACCGTATTTCAAAATTTTAAAAAAGCAAAAACCATATTTAATTTTTTTTAAATAAAAAAAAAACTTTCTTTCTCGTTTTATATTATGTTTGCAATCTTCTTCGTTAAACAAACGACTATCATTTTCATTTAAAAAAAAAAGGCCTTAAATAATTTTCGCCCCTGAAAAAAAATGCTGTGTCGTAAAAATTCGAGTTGCGTGGAAACAGGATCTGTACCAGTGTATCTGAATGTGTACGATCTGACGACAATGAATGGCTATGCTTATTGGTTCGGACTAGGGGTTTATCACTCTGGTGTTCAAGGTTAGTTTTCTTACAACTTACTACTTTCAACTTTCAACTCTCCTTTAAAAAGAAATTCTAGCTTTTTTTTAGCTTCTTTTATGTAATGTTTTTTGCTTCTAGTTTTGGAAGCTAGATCTATAGGTTGGGTGTTTTTGTTTTTGCTAAATCTTTGGACTCGTTGGATGTTTTCTCTTTTCATTTTTAGATCCGGGAAGAAAAAGCTAAAAATCTTAGCTGAAGTGAGCTTGTAGAATTGGTTTCCTTTTTCCTGCTATTTGTTTTGAAGAACGTTTTACAATCAGCTGATTTATGGGTTTTCTTTTTGGGTGACAGTTCATGGGGTTGAATATGCGTTTGGGGCTCACGAATACCCAACGACTGGGATATTTGAGGGAGAACCAAAACAATGCGAAGGGTTCATCTTTAGGAAATCAATTTTGATCGGGAAAACAGAGTTGGGTCCTATGGATGTGAGGGGAATTATGGAGGATTTAGCTGAGGAATACAAAGGAGATGTTTACAATTTAATCACCAAAAACTGTAACCATTTCTGCAATGATGCTTGCATCAGGTTGACTGGGAATCCAATCCCAAGCTGGGTCAATCGTCTTGCTAGAATTGGTAAGACCAAGCACCTCTGCTGTTTATTTCTTCAGAAAATGGATCCTTTTCAATCAATTTTGCTGTTTTAAGTTGCCATGGAAACTGATATCTTTCCTGGGCAGGAAATATAATGGTTGCAAGTATCAACAATGATAGAATTTGAGTCAATGCTTTAGTCAGTTTTATGTTATCCGGATTCGGATTAAGTGACATCTACTTTAATAGTTTTGAAACACATGTACCTTAGGAGGATCATATCCTATACCGGAATATGTTCATTTTATTGATTTTGATTTCTGTTTTCAGAATTTGACTTTTAGACGATGCTTTGTTCATTTGTAGGGTTCTTCTGCAACTGTGTTCTTCCGGTGACTTTAAATGCTACCAAAGTTGGGCATCACAGGATCGAAGACAAATCTTGTGAAGGAGAAAAGAAGAAATTGACTAACGACTCCAACAGATTCACGCAGTCTTCGACCTCTTCTTCGAACTCATCGCCTTCCATCACTCAATCTCAAACTCGGGGAAGAAGCCGAAGCAGACGCTCACTTCCCCCTTCTTCACCATTGATTCTTGGTCCATCATCTTGATTGATTTTTTTTATCTTCTTTTGAAAGCAGACAAACCATCTTGATTGATGATCATCAATATCTGGGACAGTTTTATTGAACCAAATCCTCAAGAGAGGCAAAAAAGCAAAGCAAATCATTGGTTTTCTTTTTCTTTCTTTACCTTTTGCATTATTTTTCTTGGTGGATTTATGATTCTAACATGGGGAACTTTTGCAGGCATGAAATCTGTACATTTGTGAAGTTATCAAAATTAAGGGTTCATCCGACACACTCATCAGAATCATAAAATCAATTAGGTCACTGTTATCTCTAAACACAGCATGCATTCGAATGTTTAATTTAGTGATTAATGGTCTTTTTTATTATTGTTTAAAGAACCTTCCTTTTTCTTTTTAAGAGAAGATTAATTAGGGTAATAATATAATATCCTTGTAGTAAATCAATGTAATAATTAAGGCCAGATGTTTCCCATTTAACCTTTTTAGAAAGTGATAAGATTCGAGTTCTTTCCTTGGAACTTTTAATATATGTAACTAAAATACACGCCAGTAATGATTAGAAAAAAGTCAACGCAGTTTTTACCCTATGACAATGGTCAAGTAAATAAACCCAAAATTTAGTCTTTTAGATATATAACGAAATTTTTACGAATCTAAACCTCCTTTTAGATTATTTACAAGTGTGGGATTTATAATTCTGTTTAATATCTTTCATTTCAAAGTCTATATATTATATCGCTTTTGAAATATGATTTTTTTTTTCTAACGTAAGTATGCAATACTCTTCTTTTACTACTGCTTTTCATTTCTGGATTGTAATTCACTCGTTCCATTATTAACTGCACTATTCATCCGTACCCAAAACAGGGGAGCATCTAATCTTCTTTTTCAATCTACTGGTGTCGCTTTTTTCACCTTTGCTTTTGTTATTTTCTCTCTCCTTTTTTGACCCTAAACCCAAAGCAAGAGTTGTGTTACCAAACCTTGGTTCTCTCAAACATGTAATCTACATCCCGATGAGGACATGACTCATGTCGTATATCAAGAATACAGTGATTTTTCATGCCTCACCGCTTACCCTAAGCCACTCAATTTTTGTCACCAATTACTGTTTTTCTTTAGAAAAAGATATAAGATATTGGTTACTTTAATTATCATTTAAAGATTCTTGCATGCTGTCATCTTTCTAAAGTGCCGATCATGAAGTTGGCACATTATTTGCTCTTTTCTTTATTTACTAACATCACTTTCTTTTTTGATCTTTACAGTTGGAATATATTTTATTAATGCAATTCAGTTACAAAATTCTGAAAGAAAAAGAAAAGAAAACCCATAGAAGCATTGCCAAATAACATTTTGGGTCCCACATATAAGTTTATGTCGCTCTAACATTAACTCTCTGGTCTTAAGATCACATTTAACTATTGCATCCATCAGGCCTCGATGAATTAAAATGTCAACAGCAATTCCCTTGCTAAAAGTGACTTTTTCATTATTTTTCAGTTACCAAATGACTTTTAAGACAAGAATATATATAGATTATATGTTTTTTAAAGATAAATAATAATAATAATACCCCCAATAAAAAGAAGCTTTTTGGGTTAATCAATGAATGTTATACTTTACGTTAGCTTATATAACATTCTTATGTTACGAACTATTTTACTTCCGCACTGCCCTTAACGAAAGCCAAGACTAAAACTCTCGGACAATGAAGGATTACAAATGATAAGATTTGAGTTGAAAGTCTCGGTTTTTTTTTGGGATACCCATCTCTTAAGAACAAGAAACAACTTGACTAAACCTGGGTTATGACCTACTTTTTTTCACAGTTTGATTTCTGCTTGATCCTTTTTTTAGTTGTCCCAGAAGAAAATGCACCCTTACAAAACTCCAACCACTCAAATCCTCAAAAAAAAAATGTCCCCTCTCTTTTCAATAGAACATCAAGCAGTCATCAGGAACAACTAAATGGCCAGGACAAGGAGACCATCAAATCTAACTCCTACTGGGATGACCACACTTGTCATAAAGTGAATGGACATAAGCAGACATATGGACACAAGGAAAAGCATCCAATTTATGCACTTGGTTAACTCCAAATCATATGCTCCAAAAAGGGCTACCTAAAGTTGGATTATCCACGACAACTTTCAAGTCCTTTTCACAAGCATGACATGTAACCAACCATCAAGCATAAATCTTATCAAGGCATAAGCATGCGAGGCAGAGCTGTCTCCATCAGACATGTTTCATGCAAAGAATTGGCAGAGCTCATTCAATTGACGAAGTGTGAAGGCATAAGCATGACATGTTTCAAGCATGCGAGGTACATTCCATTGATAAAATTTACTAAGTGTGAAGCATACCAAACCTGATGTTCACCAGATTGTTTGGCGGTGCCCTTAGGAAGTTATATGTAACTTAAAATGCTGGTTGCGAACGACAGGTCAATATAGGCACATAAAGAGTTGTCTATGACAGACAACGGTTGATCTTGACAGGGCTGTATGAAAGAAATATTACCAATTTGGGCGATGGATCAACTTTTTAAAGAGGGGGGATGTGATAATGAGAAAATTGTTGCTACAATCCATCCTTTAAGGATCATCCTTGAACCTCAAGGGTTGCAGGTGCTTAGCATCATCAGCTCGCATGCTAATAATGAAGCCAATACCTGTCAAAACAGACTGGGGAGACAGGGGAACCAGTTGCAGGGAGATTTTGGCATGTATTAACTTGTTGCTAGTTCCGCAAAGAAATTCTATGCAAGAAATACTTTACCTTCTTGGAAAAAAGGGACGGAATTGATATAAAAGAGATAAATCAAAATAAAAATCAGACAAATTTAACATCTTTTTAATCTGGTAAATAAATTTCTTCGTAATATAACATCAAAATCCAATAGTTTTGAATATCAAGACAGAAATACAATTCAATATATTGAGATTGTCTTCTGCATATTTGTGACATGAAAATAATTTTGGAAGGTATGTTCTGGGGAAGACCTTCATGTTTTGATGTATAAAGATATAAAGGACCAGCTGGTGAAACATGGTTCTGCAACTCGAATATTCCTGGCAACAGATTATTCACAATAATATCTTATTAAATAATGGCAAGCTTAGACACTTGCACCCCCCCCCCCCAAAAAAAACATATAAGGCTAGAAAAAGGGATCAAAGAAAGGAGGAGGTTTAAACTTTAGAAATAACCTGTTTTAGTACCGAATGGAGTTCAAATCTGAGAATCAAGTTGAGCAAAGCTAATTAGAGTTTAGCTCTGCTTCGCCTGCATCCATTCAACAAAGATGTCCAGGATCAACGGCCAAGCAAGATCAGGATTATAATTACTGAGGTCTGGGAAATTTATCTGCATATATCAAAAACGGGAAAATGCAAGCGCTTGCTCAATTATTAACATAAGGATGATCTCAAACAAGACAACTGTGTTATTATGCCATATAATGGTGCAAGGATGCAAGTAACAATTATGTTTTTATTAGAACTACAATATTACATCCCCTTTATTTCTAGTTCTCTGTCCTATCTGATGATAAATAATAGAAAAATGTACACTTATCATTTATTGAACAGCGACAATAGACAAATTCCTAACATTTATAATTTTATATAGTTCCAATTCTTATGCTTAAGAAAGTTGCTTTGCATTATTGTTCCATATTTGCAAGTAAACCAAGAAGTTTAGAAATCAGTTCCGGCCCAAAATATACACAGTTTTAGCAATGAATGAAGATAACAACAAAAAGTGGATAAAAAGAAAACGAAAAGAACACAACAGACAACAATAAAAACATTAAAACTCTTATGAGGAAGGATTCAATTATAATCACAACCTGCAAGAAGAGAGGACACCTCTTCGGTCTTCTCTATTATTCTACAAATATGCTTTGGGGATTATGCTACTATGTCTTCATATACTAGCAAGAACGTCATACAAAATACACTAGTATAATTCTATAGTTATCCCAGAGTCTTTCTTTAAAAATAAAATTAAAATGATTTCTAAGTGAGCATGACCTGTGAAATTTGAAGAATTATTCACTGACTATTTTACATGATGGAGCATATAAACTTGGGAAAACAATAGAAAATTCCATGACAAGAACTAAGTTTAACGTACCTCATTGCAGAATCGAAAAAAGCCCATCCATTGATCCAAATTTATGACCTTATAATCGCTCTGAATCTACACTAGAAGACAAGCATGGTATGAAGCTCATTTTACATTGTTTTATATTTTTTAGGTTTGGATATAAAGGGTATTTAGAATTATAGCCTCACAATAACAAAGAGCAATTTTTCTGTGTAATCTAGTGTGATGGTTGCAAGATAATGGAAATATAGAGAAGAGATTTCAGGAAGAAGCAGAAAAGATATGAGAAATCAAGAATTCATTCAGAAAATATGCATAAATTCTCTCTTTACAGGTACCTGTTTTATTTGTATACAATAGTACTAGAGAATCTAGCTAGCTAGCTGGCTGTCCTTGCCTAACTAATTTGGTTACTTCAATAGGAATTGGGCTTCACATTTGGGCTGCTCGATTGCTGGATTAATGATAGCTTGTGCCTCTCACATGCCAATATTAGGTATCAATTCCCAATTATGCTTTCAATCCCTAACCCTTGACTCTCTCCTTCCCTAAATTCCTCTTCGCTTTCTCGTCCTTCTCCCCCGACTGGGACAATACCTGCTGCTGGAGACGATCCTTGTCCCCAAGGATCAAAGTTTGGAAACTGTCCTCTGAGAACGGTATAATCTTCCCAGGTATCACTCGTCTCGTCTAGGTTTGTCCATCGCACCAGTAATTGAGTAACAGGTTTGTTTTGTCGATTTACGATTCGTCTGCCCAATATCTTACATGGCTCGATTCGAAACTGACCATCTTCATCCACTGCAGGAGGATCCGTTGAGGATATTGCTATGTCCCCAACGTGTTTCTTCAAGAGACTCACATGAAAAACTGGATGCAACCGTGATGTCTCCGGTATGTCCAAACAGTATGCGACCTCTCCAATTTTCTCCTTAATTTTGTAAGGTCCATAATATTTGGCTGCTAACTTCAAATTTTTTCTCAGGGCCAGGGAAGTTTGTCGATAAGGTTGCAATTTCAGGTAAACTTCATCCCCGACTGCAAATACCCTCTCTGATCTTTTCTTATCTACTTGTTGTTTCATTCGATCACTAGTTGTCGAATGTCTTCTCTGCTACGCATTAGTTCACTTACAAACTGCACTTTTGTTTCTGTTTGCCATATCATTGTAGGAGGTTTGTAGCCATATAATGCTTGAAAGGGTGTAAGTTTTAGGGCAGTGTGGTAGGTGGTATTATACCACCACTCTGCATGAGGCAACCATTTAGCCCACTGTTTTGGTTGAAAATAACATAAGCCTCTTAAATATTGTTCAAGACACTGATTAACTCTTTCTGTTTAGTTCTCTCCAAAAGAGGCTAGTGAATGTCTTGTCTCTATCTGAAATGGCCATTTTAGGTTGGCCATGAAGCTTATAGATATTATCCAAATACAGTTTAGCTACATCAGCTGCAGAGTAAGGGTGTGACAATGCCAAAAAATGGTTGTATTTCGTAAACTTGTTAACCACCACTAGGATACAATTTTTCTTCAATGATGTAAGTAACCCTTCTATAAAGTCCATAGTAATTACCTCCCAAGCCTGCTGAGGAATAGGCAGTGGTTGTAGCAATCTTGGTTTAGCAACATGCTCCACTTTAGTTTGTTGACAAACTGCACAAGATCTTACATAAGTTGCCATCATAGCTTTAAGCCTGGCCCAATAAAAATAAGATCTAATCCTTTGATAGGTGGCTTAAGTTCCTGAATGACCTCCATAAGGTGAATCATGTAGGTTTTGAAGAATTTGTAGTCTCAGAGACCCAGCAGTACCAATATATACCCTATCCTTAAATCTAAGGATACCCTTTGAATATTTCCACTTAGGATTAGCAGTGGGATTTACAGTTAAAATGGAAATCCATTCAGTAGCCAGTAGATCCTCCTTATAACTTCACTTCCTGAACCCAGCTAGGAATGGCTAAGGTGGTTCCCATAGCAAAGCACTGACCTTGATCTTCCCACTGTCTAGATAAGGCATCTGCTACCACATTTGATTTGCCTTTTCTATATTGAATAGTGTAGTCCAGTCCCAATAGTTTAGTCAATCCTTTCTTTTGAATTGCAGTAGTTAATTTCTGCTCCAATAGGTATTTCATAGGTTCATGGTCTGTTTTGATGATAAAAGAATTGCTCTCTAAGTAATGTCTCCCTTAGAGACTGCTAATAGAATAGCAAGATACTCTATTTCATAAATGGAGAGGGCAGTATGTCTAGGACTAACAGCCTTACTAAGAAATGCAATAGGTCTGCCATCTTGAGATAATACAACACCTATACCTCCTAAACTGGTAGAGCTAAAACAGGGGCAATACACATAGCTCTTTTTAGATCTTCAAAAGCAGTCAAGGCTGCACTGTCCCACTTAAAATTGTCTTTTTTTAAGCATTTGTGTCAAAGGTTTGCTGATAGTGCCATAATATTTGATAAACCTTCTATAGTAGCCTCTTAAACCCGAAAACCCTCGCAAAGATTTTAAGGATTTAGGCAGAGGCCAATTCCTCATTGCTTCCGCCTTACTAGGATCAGTAGCTACTTCTACAGCTGAAATAATATGCCTCAAATACTCCACTTGAGTCTGTCCAAAGAAACATTTGGACAACTTTGCAAATAACTGGTTAGTTTGCAAAATATCCAAAACCAATTGTAAATGAGTAATATGGTTTATCATAGAACTGCTGTAGACTAGGATGTCATCAAAAAAAACACCAAGACAAACTTTCTAAGGAATGAACTAAATAATCCATTCATTAATTCCTGAAATGTAGCAGGAGCATTAGTGAGACCAAAGGGCATTACCTTAAATTCATAGTGGCCCTGATGAGTTCTGAATGTTGTTTTGTAAATGTCTTCATTTTTAATTCTGATTTGCCAATAACTTGATCTTAGATCAATCTTTGAAAAATAGACAACACCATGTAGTTCATCCAATAAATCTTCCACAACAGGAATGGGAAATTTATCCTTGACTATTATATTGTTTAGCTGTCTGTAATCTACACAAAACCTCCAAGTATTATCCTTCTTTTTAATTAGGGGACATGGAGAAGCAAATGGGCTTTTGCTAGGTTGAATAATAGAGGAGGATAGCATGGTAGCAATTTGTCTTTCCACTTCAGCTTTTTGGTTATGGGGAAATTTGTAGGGCCTTAAATTAACAGGCATATACTCAGGCTTAAGAGGAATAGCATGATCATGGTTTCTTGTAGGTGGAAGGCATGTAAGTTCAGTAAAAATAGAGTTGTATTTCTCTAATAGAGGTTGAATAGCTGCAGGAATGGGTTTTGAACTCTTTGTCATAGTCAACAGTACTACATGCCCCAATATAGCAGAGTCTGAAGCTGTCATTTTCAATAGTGTAGCCCCTGAAATTTGTTGCAAAAAATTTGAGAGTTGTTGGCCATGTATAACAATTTGTTCATCTTGATGTACAAAACTTAGTGTCATTTTGTTGATGTCCATCAAGATTGGACTGAATAATTTCATCCAGTCAACACCTAACACCATATCACTTCCACCCAATTTAAGAAGTCTAAAATCATGAATAAAATAATGTCCTTGCATCTGTCATTCTACCTTATTACATCTTGCTGAGCTGTAGAGTTACTGTCCATTAACCACTGTAATTGCTAAAGGATAAGGTGTAGTCACTTGAATACCTGCATCAGCCCATTATGGTGTTAAAAAACTGTGGGTGCTACCACTTTCAATTAAAATGTTTAATGGTCTGCCTTGAATGGTGCCCTGAATTCTCAATGTATTATGACCAATACACCCAGTGATAACATTCATAGATATTTCTAGGCTCTCCTCTTCTTGTAACACTTGTTGATCTGAATCATTTGGTAAGGTTTCTGAAGGTATAGCAGTTTCATCTTCAATCATCATGTTCAAATGTCTTGTCTTACATTGATGGCCTGGAGCAAATTTTTCACCACACTTAAAACATAAGTTATTCTGTCTTCTGTAGTCTAGAAGATTCTATTTTGGAGGTATAATACATGGACTTTTCTGTTATGGGGGATTTGGTTTAGAAGTAGGTAATGGGTTTGGGTAGGGTGGGTTTCTAAGAGATGTTCGCTCTCGCTTGTTCTCAAATTCAACGGAGAGCTCATACAGTTTAGCTTGCCTGCAACCTTCAGAAAGTGTTTTAGGTTCTAGGCCTTAACTCTGTGTTTAATGTCTTCTCTTATTCCACTGATAAAAAGAGAGACAAAGAACTCTTCACCTAGAGTATGGTTTTGTAAGAGCATGTGAGGTTGTAGTTCCTCAAATCTGTCCTGATACTCCTCGACTGACCCTTTCTGCACTAATTTTGTAAACTCCTCAACTCTGTCAGCAAAAGACTTGTCACTAAACCTATGGCAAAGGTCTGCCTCAAACTCATGCCATATCACATGGTGTTTTTGCATGATGTAACCATCAAACTAAATTTCTGCCTTCCCCATTAAATACATCGTGGCCACCTCCACTCTTTGTTCCTCCGCAATACTACATAGAGAAAAGTACTTAAGGCATTTTTATATCCACCATCTTGGATTAATTCCTTCAAAAAAAGGCAGCTCAATCTTGGGTCTATGCCACATCAGTCCTGAAGTGTTAAAAGACCCCCGAACCTCTTTTATCCTCCTCTAGGCCAACTATATTATTTCTAACAACATTGTTCTCGCCCATTTGGTTATCATTTTTAAAACTAGGCAAATCGTCTGATTTGGATCTTAAAATCCCAGAATCATCAAGTTTATAAGTAAACCTAGTCTTATCATTAGTCACTGTAACCTTTACAGGTTGTTTTCCATCTTTTCTAGAAGTGTTAGGGGTCTGTACCTGGTCATTAGCAGACTGGTTCTGATTCCCGTTTCTGCCAGTTAGAATCTTCAAAAGTTTCTCCACGTGCCCCTGATTTGTGGTCATCCTGGATTCCAAAGAAGTAATACGGTTCTCTTGGTTCTCCCACTATTTAGGAATTTTAGTATCATCTTGGGATTGTTTGACCAAGATTACTAATTCTTCAAGTTGTTTTTGTAATGCAACGAAACCAAGTGTTTCAGACATGCTTTGGGTTTTCTTTGGCATTCCAACAATGATTGCCAGGAAAATTTGGCTCTGAATACCAAATTGTGATGGTTGCAAGATAATGGAAATATAGAGGAGATTTCAGGAAGAAGAAGCAGAAAAGATATGAGAAATCAAGAATTCATTCAGAAAATATGCATAAATCCTCTCTTTACAGGTACCCGTTTTATTTGTATACAATAGTACTAGAGAATCTAGCTAGCCAATTGGCTGTCCTTGTCTAACTAATTGATTACTTCAACAGGAATTGGGCTTCACATTTGGGCTGCTCGGTTGTTGGATTAATGATCGCCTGTGCCTCTCACGTGCCAATACCAGGTATCAATTCCCAATTATGCTTTCAATCCCTATCCCTTGACTTTCTCTTTCCCCAAATTCCTCTTCGCTTTCTCGTCCTTCTCCCCCGACTGTGACATCTAGTCCATTTTCTAAAAGATTAAACATTTAAATCAGATTAACTCTATTTTCTAAAGAAACATTTGAAGATTCCATCAGTGTAAGTATAACAACGTGCCCCAATCTAATAAAAGATTTAACAGACATTTTAACACACACATTTATATATACACAGTACAGACAATCCTAGCAGCTAAAACTGAAATGTCCTCGTCCCCCATAATAACATAGGACTTTGCGTCTGTATAAACAGAAACATAAAGGAAATGGATAAAATAAGCAGAAGCAACTACAACCCCAGAGATTAAATGCAATAATTGCCTCAACACACCTTCAAATACTCAATAAAATAGTCAACCTGCGCACGGAATTGGGATCCTAAAACAAGATCCAGCAGTTGACATATGCTTTCAGTATCAATACTCTTTTGTTTCTCCTCTGCAACAGTGAATACGAGAAAGTAAGTAGGAGTGCAATCAGGAAAAAGAGACGGTGTACAGACATCCAAGCTACATACCACAATATTATCATAATACCTGTCAGGCAATAGCAGAATGAATAGGAATAGAAATCCTCGAAGTTTGATGGCCTCCTGACCTATTTGTAATATAAAAAGAAAATATCATCACTTTTGCAGACATTTCCACAATAATAAATCATACACACGAAACAAGTCAATTAACCTCAGGTATAAAGCAGTTCAGAATTTTCTACCTCTTTTTCTAGCTCCGGTAGGGCCTTCTTTAATTTACTTACAGTATCAGCCCTCAGTGCTTTTAATCCTCTTCGCCATTCCTCCTATAAAGATAAGATTCAAATTTTATTTTCAGTGGATAATTTAAATACAAGCACGTACAAGAACATAACAAATACATACAGAGCTTGGGATTTAAGGAATCATTATATTGCTAGTTAGACGTACAATGCATCAGCCAACCTATACCCAGGTTATTATGACACATAACTGTATAAAGAAGAAACTCCAGTCAACAGAACTTTTTTAAAATATATAACTAAAAAGTATTTCCACAACTCTTAGATATCATGATCAAGTCATAGATATTGGAAATTGATTATAAACGTGTACAATCAATACCCAAAAATGGAAATTAACAAAACCATTGCTGATAACTGAAATCTAGGCATTGCCATGCAGCCTACATGCCAGACTCAATATAAAAAGGGAGACTGGAAACTTATTATTCTATACAAAATACCATGATAAAGAAGAAAAATAATCAGAGGGCATAGGAAATGATAGCAATTTCATTCAAACCAAAACATTATAGATCACATTAACAGTTAAATTATAAAAATAAAGGGAAAAGGTAAAGGAAAACAAAAACTCTTACCAGGGTAAAGTATCCTTGTTTTTCGGCTTTCATTTTCCTGACATCAGCACAATAGTTTCAACATAAAAGCTTAGGATAAAAGTTATAAATGTGTTATTGGACGAGTTTATATGGCAGTTACCAAGCAAGCATCAAGATCCTAACATCTGTGTGATCAACTTCCATGTCAGAACATAGAGTTTCAATCCCTTCTGGGCTGTTAAAATAGTGCATCATAACATTAGAATTTAGTTCAAAATAGTCAAGCAGCATTTAGTTTCCGTGATAATGAAACTAAATTTTAATGAATAACACTAATAAATTATAAAAACTGTAGTTAAACATGCAGCTATCAGCATCCCTACTTCAGCTTTGCAGTCAGCTATATTTTTGTGTATGACCTCCTGAACTAATTCCATTGTTTTTGGGCACTTCTATTCTATGCAGCTATATCTCTTCGATTCCTAAAGTACCCTCATCCAACACATTTGATATACAGAAGTAGGGAGTTCCAGCCTTATAGAAAACTTAGAAAAGACAAAATCAATTATTGCTGGAAACATACCTATATCCATGGGGACTCGACAAGTGCAAAAGACCAGTTAGCTTGATAGCTATCGTGGTTAATCAATCATTCTATAAATTGATACAAGCATATTACGCTTCAAAATTATCTAAACAGAAAACCGGGACTGTGTCCCACATAGTAAAATTTAATCTTAACTTCATTACAGCTCCCTATAGAAAAAACAAATCCTATAAGCACAGCTTAAATGAAAGAATAATTGTTATGCTCCAATGCTTACTTGGTTATTGTGAAACCATCTTTTGTCAATGTTGAAAATATTAAGAATTAGACCTTTCCGACAAATAATTTTGAAATTTGAACTCCACATTTTATACAAAACAGAAATTTAACAAACATATAAACTATTGCTTATATGCACATAAAGTCTGCTTGAGCAGTAGTTTATGAACAAGAAGGTATGAACTCGATCAGCATATCAGTTACCTGATCGAAAAGATGTAAACTTCATAGCAGATTGGCACATTGAGTCATCATGAGCTCACATATCAGATTGTGACTAGGATCCCTAACATCTATATGAAAGATAAGTGCACAAAGTCTCACATGGAAATATTACTCCAATGGTTGTACTAAACAGATATAATACGATAGTATATATATGTTGAATGACATTGCCTAAAAAATACAAAATTTCAAAACAAAAAGTTACTTAAAAAAGGGTTGGGTGTAACATCAGTAGTTATCTAAAATCCATATAACAATATAATTCTCCAAAATTACAAAGGTACCAAAAGACCTATTTCCCCTTGCTCAATGTAAATACCAAAATTACAAATACCCTTACTGAATTGCATATTCCACTAAGCACTTACTCAATCATACCAGACGACATATTGGCATACAAATAAAACTGGTTGTCAATCCGTTCCATCTCCTTTGAAGATGCCTTACTTGAAGCTAAGAAATATAAAAAAAAAGTTTCATGTCATTAGTTACAAAACCTAAGACAGCTTGGTCAAAAAATTTGAGAAATATTACTTTAAACCACAGGTATATCATACATGCAACATATATTGATAACAAGATAGAATTTTTTTTTCAATTATGACCATGGATTTTGCTTCAATTTTCATCTTCTCTTACTAAACCCAAACATGATTTTAAGATTTAACTACCTTAAAAAGATTGCATTCAAGCTATAATCCACCTTAAGGATTTTGCTCCAGTTTTCAACTTCTCTAACTAAACCCAATTTTTCACTCTTTAATATTTAACTATATTAAGAAGACTGAAATCAAGCTATAATCTACCCTTAAGAATTTTGCTTCGATTTTCAACTTCTCTACTAAACACGATTTTCGAAACACTTTCAAGATTTACCTTAAGAAGACTGGCATTCAAACTATAATTTACCCTTAAGATTGGCATGTATTCTCTTAAGGTTCAAAGACGTTCGTCTTCCCTATTGTATCTAAGTTCAAAAGATTATTCTTATTTTTTCCTCCCCGTTTTCCCAGTTTTAAATCATTTCATAGGAGAATTAATTTCAAAATAAAACCCGAATCCTTTTGCTAAGCTTAACTTTGCTAGATAGTTCATCAATATCCGCAAAATCTACCAGAACTATACACACATATGGTAAGTTACTTTGTTTCTTTCTTCAACCAAAACCGAATCCCTTTATAGAAATCAAGCAGAAAAATGGGAAAGTAAACAAAATTTAACAATCAAACATATAGTAAAATTTTGAAACAACAAAAAAAAGAGAAAAAAAATGAAAAGGCGAACCCAGCTCCATCAAAATTTGGAATTAAAAAAATAAAGCAGAAGAGAGAAAGGGAAGTACCGGTGCGAAAGAGATCGGAGGGAGAATAAGAAATCGGGTTGGTTGAATTGGTTTGACCCGTTTTTTTGGATGCAGATGCAGAGCGACGCATCCAAAACAAGCTTTTCATCTATTTATTTATTTTTAAGGATTCGAAGGTCCTATGTTGAGAAATGAAATTTAATGACTAATTTACTCCCCCCCCCCCCCACCCAAAAGAGATTACTTTTGACTTTCTTTTTCCTTTTTCGATTAAAATAACTTGATTGCTACCTTTGGCTGACCACTCTATCGGTTTTTACCTTGATTCCTTTGTTTTTTAACATGCTAGTTTTCCCCCCAAGGTTGGGTGATTTTTATATGTACTGGGTTTTTTCTTGAAAATATATATTATTTTAAGTTACAATAATGATATATAATTACAAATACAAACAATATGTATCTGAATAAATCATAAATGTAATTAGTTATTAAAAACATAATTAATCTAATAAATAACAGGGTAAACTATATATTTAATCACTAAATTATCACTTTTGTTCCATTTTGGTCTTCTAATTCTTTTAAAATCATTACCAACATTACGTTTTGATTTTATTTTGATCACCCACTGTTAAAAAATTAATAGAAATGCTGACGTGTTACCATATTATAAAATCATATCATCATTCCAAAAATAAAAATTTATCACATCATCAGTTCTATTAATTTTTTTAACAATGAGTGATCAAAATAAAATCAAAATATAATGGTAGTGATAATTTTAAAAAATTAGTTTGATTACCAAAATAGAACCAATGTGGTAGTTGAGTAACTAAATACGTAGTTTAACCTAAATAACAAATAAATTAATAATTATAAAATACAATCAATCCATAATAAATTTAGGAGAAGATCTACATATAATGAATAATTTAATTTTTTATACAACATTTTGATAAATTAGTTATTTATATTATATAAATTTTATGTATTGTACTAATATTTATATTTTATTTTATAAAAATGTTATATTTTAATTATTTTTATATCATATTTACGTTTTTATATTAAAAAAATTATTTTAGATAAATAAATTTAATAAATTTCTGAATGACATTAGTCTTAAATTTAAATTTAAATATTTTGATAAATTAGTTATTTATATTATATAAATTTTATGTATTGTACTAATATTTATATTTTATTTTATAAAAATGTTATATTTTAATTATTTTTATATCATATTTACGTTTTTATTAAAAAAATTATTCTTAGATAAATAAATTTCTGAATGACATTAGATCTTAAATTTAAATTTAAATATATTTTTCATTTAATATATATTTTTATAAATAAAAATAAATAAATATAATTATACTTTTATGAGATGAATTATACTATAAACCATTTAATTTAACATTAATTTTAGAATAATTTTTTTATCTAGTAATCCACCTATTCTTAAGGTTCCATTTTGATCACCTAATTATTTTCTTAAATCATACCTAATATTATATTTTTATTTTATTTTGGTCTCTCGTCGTTAAAAATTAAACAGAGCTGTTGATGTGGTAAATTTTTTTTATTTTAAAGATGACATGCCATTACCTTATGGTGGCACATCAACGTCACCGGTTTTTTAATGATGGGTGGCCAAAACAAAATTTAAATGTAACATTAATTATGGTTTTGAAGAAAATAGTTAGCTGACTAAAACAGAACTACTAGAATAAGTAACTAAATACGTAGTTTACCCATTTTTATATAAATTGTTGACTTTTAATTTCATAAAATTACATCACAAAACTTTCATAATTAGAAAATTATGTTCTAATGAAAAATGACTCACCATGCACTTGTAAATATTAAAGCAACTTTTATTAAAATTATATTTTAATTACATTAGTTATTGAGTCTATAGACAACCACGTAAGGTATTGGTGTGTCAATTAATACATTTTTTAAATTTTTAACATAAATATATTAAAATAAAATTTATATTATTTAAAATAAAATTAATCACTTTTTGAAAGTTTATGATGATTGAGGATAATCCTAATATCCCATATGTAATTTAATGTAGAATATGATTTTGAGATTGAAAAGGTGGTATCAAGATACGGTCCAACTCAGGAATGGTCCAATGGGCCTAATAGGTAGCCTGATCCGTATAATGTTTTTGATGTAATAATAAAATATTGCAAGCTGAGTGGTTTACCTACAAGCATGGTGATCCGGCGTGTCGTTCATCTAACGCAACGCGTCCTCCCCGTATATCGGCATCGCATCGCATCGCATCGCACCACAATCAGCTACTCCGGGTATTTGTCGCATATATGTTTATTCCTATCTCTTTATTCAGTTTTCCCTCTCCTTTCAAAATCAAAATAAAAGTTTTTTATTCTCCAAGGTAAGTTTCTTTTTTCTCCGAGTTCATTTTTTTTTTATAATTCATCAATTTTATTACCCAAATAAATATAGAATGTTACAAAAAATATCGATTTCAAGATATTATATACAAACTACAAACAAAAGAGTAGATCAGTTTTAATCAAAACCCCATGAAATACAAAGGTTAAAGTTAACTCTATCAATCTTATTAATGTTCTTCCCATAAGTTGGATTCTTATACATTCTTTGATGCAAGTTAGGAGGTCGTCATTGGTTTGGAAGCATCTTTTAAATATTCTTCGGTTGCACTCTTCCCACAGTAGATATATAAAAGCATCCCATGTGAACTTAAGGATAATTAATAAGAGAGACTTTCCTTTCCAAGAACTATAAACCCAAACAAACAAATCCTCCCATGATGAGCAGTGATTCTTGATGTTGCAGAGTAGTATAATTTTGTTCCTAAAAAAAAATAAGCAGTGGAGCAGTCGAAGAACAAGTGATTACTAAATTTCATTGTATCGTTGCAACCATATCAGTGAATGCCAGGGAACCTTGTTTTCCTTCACCCTAATCTCCTGTCAAAAGTCTTTAATGGAAAATGCACCATTCGAAATAGAGGAGGTTGCTTTACTGCATAATTTAAGAATATAGGTGAAACTCCAACTAAAACTTGCTTTGCTTTCCATTTGCCACAGATCATTATCCTTGATAACATACGCATGGATCCAAGCAATCCATAATGATCCCTCTCTAGCTAATAAATTCCTTATGAGTTTGATCATGCAAGCTTTATTCTAAATTTTAAGGTTTTTCAGACCAAGACCACCCTTAGATTTTAATTGACAGATTTTTGCCCAGTTGACTCTTGCACCTGTAGCAGATTTATCAGAGCCTTTCCAGAAGAACCTAGAGCAAAGCTGTTCAATCTTGCTGATTATTGCTTGAGGAAGAGGAAGTTGCCTACACCAGTAATTAACAATACTGAACAGGACTGCTCGAATAAGTTCTAGTCTTCCAGCATAACTCAGATTTTTACCAGACCAAAGAGCGAGCCTTGCTTTAATATTTGCAATAAGAGAATCACAGTCTTTCTCAGAAAGTTTACGAGTAGTCAATGGGATTCCAAGGTATCTAATTGGTAAGTAACCATAAGTGAACCCAGTAGTTTGTTTAATATACTCGACATTACTGAATGAAATTCCAGCAGTGAAGAAAGTTCATTTAGCATCATTTAAGTTCAGACCGGACATCTCATAGAAACTTTCAAGGATAGTAATGACACCAATTACTGACTCGACATTATCCTTACAGAAGATTAACAAGTCATCGGCAAAGGATAAATGAATGAGCCCTACTTTCTTGCATTTAGGATGGTAGCTATAAAGGCCTCTTGCAGCAGCCATATTAAGCATGGAAGAAAGAATATTCATTGAAAGAACAAAGAGGATGGTTGAAAGAGGGTCACCTTGTCTTATACTTCTTGCTCCCTTGAAATAACCAATTAGACTCCTATTGAAGGAGATTGAGAATCTAGCTTGTGTGAAGCAAGCTTCAATCCAGTCAATAAATCTTTGAGGAAGTTCCAATGCTTTAAGAACAACATATAGAAAGCCCCAATGAAGAGTGTCAAATGCCTTTTGAAGGTCGATTTTCAAAGAACATCTTAGGGAGATGACTTTTCTTCCATAATCTTTAACTAGTTCTTGTGCAAGTAGGGTGTTGTCAACAATGCTTCTTCCTTTGATGAAGGCAGTTTGATTTAAAGAAACCATTCCAGGGATAAGAGGAGTCAGTCTCTTGACTAAAATCTTGGTTATAGCCTTGTAAATGACTGAACAACATGATATTTGTATGAAATCTTTGATCTTGCTTGGGTTTGGGACTTTAGGGATAAGGGAAAGTGTGGTAGCATTGAAAGCATGAAGCATTATGGATTGTTGGAAAAATATTTGATTGCTCCTACTACATCCTCTCCTACAATGGACCATGTCTTTTTGAAGAACATAGGAGTGTATCCATCTGGCCCCGGGGCTTTGACATTGCCTTGTTCAAAGATAGCTTCTTTTATTTCTTCAGAGGTGACATCTTTGGTGAGATTAGATGACTGCTCAGGAGGCAGAGAATAATTAAGAATGTCTTTCAAGAATTTATAGTCATAACCTTTGACTTTAGAGTCAACACTCCCAATAAAATTCTTATAGTAAGCAATCACTTATGAGGCCATAGCGTCGAAGGATTCTAATCTTAATCCTTGATTATTAATGAGCAGAGTAGAAGAATTTAGAGCATTTGTCCCCTTCTTTGATCCATTGAATCTTGGCATTTTGTTTCAAGAACATGAGCTCAGCTTCTTCTTCTTCTTTTTTGTTTTGTTTTGCATTTCCGAGATTTGAAAGTTGACTATAATCGCAAGTTTTTAGTATCTCATCGATTAATTTTGCAGTTTCCTAATGTCTACTTTCGGTGCCGCCTCTGCCAATCATAACCCTAACAAATCATTCGAGGTTTTAGCTCTTTAATTTGTATAAGATATTTTACACGATTCACATTTTTTGTTTAATTTCCATTTGCTAATATAATTTTTTCGAGTTAAATTTTAATGTTGTTTTTACTTGCGAGCTATATATATTATTTTTAAACTTGAGTTAATAAATTTCTGTTCCCTTCTGTGTTTTTTATGCTAAGGAGGAAAAACGATAAAAAAATTCTTAGCTTTTGGTTAAATGATACTTGAACTA